CAACATTAAAAAATAATAAACATAATGTTCAGAATTTTAACAAATAAAAAACAGAACAATAATTATCAATATAAAAGTAAAAGAGACAGGAAAAGAAAATCAAACGCTGAGATTTATAGTGGTTCGGCACGCCGAGCCTACGTCCACTCCCCAAGAAACCTCATTGAGAATTTCTTTATTATCAAAATGAATTAATACACCACCAAGGCTTCACTAAGCCTGTGGATTTTGCACAGGTCTTATTTTTATCTATTGAGCCTCACTCAACAATAAATTCCTCACTCTTACAAAATTCCTTCACAAAATAATAAATAAGGATTAGAGGTACTCAATCCTATTTTACAATAATTTTCTCACAAAAAGTATATATGAAAGTGTAAGAACAAAGACTACACTTAGATCTCAAAGTGAAAGAGCAGAATACAATACACTCAAAATTTTGGAGTACACAGATTTTTCTCTTCAAGTTCTTAATTTTTCTCCACACACGCCACTTCTATTTATACCCAAAAATCTACCCGTTGGAGAGACAGACGCTCCTTCGAATCATGAGAAGTCAGTACAAAGCTCCATCATTATGGTGTTCGTTGAAGTCAAAAGCAATATGAAAATAGTGCCAACTTGCGCCTTTTTCTTTTTCTTTTCGTATGCAAATTCAAAACAACTTGCAACTCTTTCTTTTTCTTTTTGCAGACAAATTCAAACCAACTTCAAGGATAAAAATAATAAATAAATCTTTTCCTGCAATCACTACATTATATTATATTCATTTCAAAACTTTGACTAAATATAATATTTGATGCACCGCACCGCCACTGACTATTTATTAATCTTCAATATATTCAAAAAACGTTCCATATAAATCAACTCTGTTTATAAAAGATACATTCAATATGATTGTAAAGTAAATTTGAATTTGGTTCAATATGTATCAAAATGATATAATACAAATTTACTCAAAAAAGACAATCACATCAAATTTGTCAAAAGATGAATAGTAATTAAAACATGAATAGTAAAATTTTCAAAATATTTTATTTAAATAATATTTATAACAAATGTATCATTAAGTATATATTTTAAACATATAATATTTTGTGTCAAATAATATAAAAATATGTATATTATTTACCTTTTATCAATTAATATATTAGACATCATCAAAATTAAACAATATGATTAACAATCTCCCTCTTTTTTATGATGGCAATACATGAATGGATTTGACACAAAATTAAAATCAATAAAATATTTGATAATTTTGCCACATAAAATATTTGATACATGCACAACAATTCACAGCAATTCAATTCATGTTTGTCTCCCCCTTTGACATCATCAAAATAAAATATGGAGATAGGAAGGTTTTAGAAAGAAAAAAAAAATTAAAGGGATCAAAACAAAAATCAGACAAACTCATGCGAGAAAATAATTTGAGATGCAAAAAAAAAAAATTATAATAATGGTGCTTATGTCTTATCGTGATCATTGTGGAGATTTTCGAGCATTGCCTGAAAAATGGTGCAGTGGCGCCCAAAATGTTGACAAACAAGAGATTTGAGCAGATATATATCAAGTATTGGATCGGTATAGTGTATAAAAAGTGACAAAGATGATAGGTAGAGATATGAAATTGTCAAGTGTTGGTAGAGAAAAATTTGTTTTACCTTCTTGTGTAATCATGTCATTCCTTACCTTAGCCATCAATGATTTTGACATGCATGAGGTGCCTATAATGCAGGCAAATGAGAGGTTACCAATGGTGCAGCCACACGCTATTCCTATAAAAGAGAGTCCTAGTATTAGTGGTAATCAAAATGATATTGAAGTTATTATTAACACTATGGCTCTTAGTACATAGGCGATGACTGCGGTTTCCAATATGGCTCAACGACTGTAAGTAAGAATACAAGAAAATCAGCAATGAAGAGACGATGTGTGCTTGCTAAAACAACTGGTTAATATTAGTCAGGAGAAGAGAGAGCTAAAAAGGAAAAATTCGTAGTTAGAGAATGCGGTGCAATATTATGCAATGGTTATAATGGCAAGACTCATAGAAGCCGAAAATAGAGAGAGGCATGGAAAAGAGGTTCATGAAAAGTTATTGAGAGAAGTGAAACGGAAAAAAATCTGTGAAGCCTTTTGAAAACTTACATGTAATCGAGTAATATTTTCTCCTTCTAAAATAAAATTGCAAGCATTTCTCTGTTAAAAATTTTTGTCTTTGCAAAAAAAAAAAAAATATTGTTGGTGCAGATAAGGAGTAAAAAGAAATTATATATACTCCCCCTAAAATTATGCACAGAATATACAAACGCCCCTTAAGATTGTGCCCTTTTTATTTTAAAATTGTTTTAATCTCAAAATATTACATAATATGAATCTCCCCATAAATTAACGCACTAAAATTACACAAATTGTAAGAACCAAATTACCAATTTATAATACTAAGGGCCATTAAGATCTAACCATATACAACTACACCAAGTGCACTCGCATAAAAAGAGAAAATGCAAATAAAAATAATTTCTTCATACCAGGTAGAAGCAATTGTTATTAAATACAAGAGAGTTTGTACCATATACAACCATATAAGAAATACAACAAAGTGCAAAAATAATTTTAACATGTTGATCGGTGATGATGTTGATGATCAGAAAGAATGGAGAAGATCGGAGATAAATGTTTGTAGATCGGTGATGAATTTTTATAGCTCGATGAAATGGATCTTGGTGGATCAGTCATGGATCTTGATGGATGGGTGATGGAACATGATGAATCGGAAATGATGTCGAAAATCGGTGATGAAGGTTTTGTATAGAGCAGTGATAGATCTTGGTAGATCACTGAGGGATTTTGGTGGATGATGGTAATGATGAAAGTGATGGATGATGGTGGTGATGGAGTCAGTGTAGAGTGATGAGAGGAAGCGAGAGTTGGTGAGAGAGAGAACAGAGAACGGAAACAAGACAAAGAGGGGGAGAGCAAAGAGAGAGAGAGATGATTTATATAAAAAAAGGTTTTTTTTAATTTTTATTTATTTATTTTAAATATATATATATATATAATTATTATATAGGTGTATTCATCATACCAAGTTCAGTTCTAATATAACAAAATTGTTATTCATTAAGAAGTTTGGTAAATATGTCAGCTAATTGACGATGTGTAGGCACAAATTCAAGTGCAATGTCACCTTTGAGTACATGATCTCTAAGAAAATGATGCCTTATGTCAATATGTTTAGTGCATGAGTGTTGGATAGGATTTTTAGAAAGATTAATGGCACTTGTGTTATCACATTTTACAAGAATATGATCATAGTGAAGTCCAAAATCTTGAAGTTGTTGTTTCATCCAAAACAATTATGCACAACAACCAGCGGTGGCAATATATTCTGCATCAGCAGTTGACAAAGCTATTGAATTTTGTTTTTTACAAAACCATGATGTGAGAGAGTTTCCAAGAAAAGGACAAGTGCCACTAGTGCTTTTTCGGTCAAGTCTACATCCCGCAAAGTCAGCATTTGAGTAACCAAAAAGTTCAAAAGTGGTTCCCTTAGGATGCCATAATCCCAAATTTAGAGTGCCAACAAGATATTTGAAAATACGTTTGACTGCGGTGATATGTGACTCTTTCGGTGCGGATTGAAAATGTGCATACATACAAATACTAAACATTATATCAGACGTACTTGCAGTAAGATAGAGTAAGGAACCAATCATACCTCAATATTTTTTTTCATCGACAGGTTTACCTTACTCATCTTTGCAATTTTTATTAACGTGCTCATTGGAGTTACTGCAGGCTTTGATGATTCCATTTCAAACCTTTTGAGTAGATCCTTGATACATTTCGTTTGATTTAAATGGATCTCATCATTTGTTTGTTTAATTTGTAAACAAAGGAATATTTTTAGCAAACTCTTTGCACAAATTTTTACTAGTAGCATCGAAAATAATATCCTCAACATAATTTGAACAATTAGCATATCCTCATTTTTGGTTTTTATAAAAAATTTTGTATCAATTTTTCCTCTAGAAAAATGTTTGTCAAGTAGAAAATTATTTAATCTTTTATACCACGCTCTAGGAGCTTGTTTTAAATCATATAAAGCTTTTGAAAGTTTGAAAACATGATCTGGATATTTATAACTTTCAAAACCGGGAGGTTGTTCAACATAAACTTCCTCCGAAATGTACCCATTTAAGAAAACACTTTTAACATCCATTTGATAAAATTTAAAATCTTTAAAACATACAAAAGGAAGTAACATTCTAATCGCTTCAAGTCTAGCAATCAGTGCAAAAGTTTCATCAAAATCAATGCCATTTCCTTGATTATAGCCTTGGGCTACCAATCTAGCTTTATTTCTAGTAACAATTTCGGATTCATCTATTTTATTTTGAAAAACCCATTTTGTATCAATAACTGGATGATCCTTAGGTCGAAGGGACAAAAACCAAACTTTATTTCTTTCAAATTGATTTAATTCTTCTTGCATTGTTAAAAACCAATTTTTATCTTCTTCAGCTTCTAAAAACGATTTTGATTCAATTTGTGAAACAAATGCTAGGTTACCAGAAACATTTCTGATAGAGGAACGAATTTTTATACCTTCCGTTGCATCACCTTGTAGCACGTCCGTGAGGGACCCCGCTACAGTTCGGACTCGATTTGTGTCACGGTTCTAAATCTGAACCAAAGAGTCCAAATCCAGCAAATCGTTTTGAGAAAACAAATTTTGAAAGAAGTGCCAAACATGGGCTGCTTTGCCAGATACAGAGTCGCCACCTAAATATTTTATTTTGGGGGAATTTAGGAAACCCTGACTCGGTGCCAAAGGCCACGTGTCCGTCATCACCAAAGTTGCCTCGGCTCGACAACTTGGGTATGATTGGAGAAGGTCAGCTATGAGCACCCCCTCTCGCCCGATCAGTATTTTGCTAGTTTGATTATCGACAAAATTGCACTTTTGACTTCCTTGGCCAACATTTGTATCACCTCATTTGAATTTTGTGACACAGATAATGGTAATGAATCTCACCCTTTTCTATCTGCCGCAAGTGTTGTTCCATCGTTGGATCAAACTCGCCAATCATTTCAATTATGCTTAAAAAAAGTCCATTGCTCTCTTCATAAATCTTCTCATGGCTTCCACGAAAAGGCAAATTATTCTTGGCAAGTGTTTTCACAACTGCAATTATCATCAATAAAACCCGTCTCAAGTGCTCTTTTTCTTTGTTAACTTGTTCTTGTATACTTTTATCTATTGTTTGATGCTTTCCCAATCTTTCTTCCAACTCAATCCATTTGTTCATGCAAGTAATGTTCTCGTTACCACTTTCATAGACTTTAAGTCTCTCACCAATATTTCTCCAGTCTTTAAATCCTTCAGTAGCCAATTCAGTCTTATTTCCCTCTTGCTTAAATAACTTACAACAAAAGCAAAATACTCTATCCAAAAGTTTTGAGTATATCAACCATGTCCTATCAATTTTTTCTCCATTTGGTAAATGTCGAATGTAATGAACAGGTGAGAAATACCTATGCCTAGAAGAATCATCCTTAGGGAAGTTGAACTCACAATTTCTTCTCACAGGACCTCTTTCGACTAAAAAATCTCGTAAATTCTGGTCAATTATTTTCCAAGTCCCTGGATCATCTATATTTGAATGCTCACATTCCGTATTCATCTCATCTTCTTGATTGGCTTCTGCACTCCCAAATTCCCTATTTCCTTCTTCTTCCACCAAATTTTCATTCTCATTATCCACCAAATTTTCATTCTCGTTATTCACCAAAGTTTCAAATTCTTCACTATTCAAGTCTTAAACTGATTGTTCTGTTTGTTTGTCACTCATAAAGAATTTATCAATAGATTCTCTTTGACACTCGACTAATTTTTCAACACTTTGCTTCTTTTTCCTTTTTGTGAATCCAGATGGTTAATTTTTTAAGAGTCATGATGAGCTGAGATCAAAATATTGTTTTAGATCAAATCAAAACAAGAGCACCACCACTTAACAAAACACAAAACTTTTAAATTATGTGATGTGAACTATAAAAGTTAAACGAATTCTTCTTGAGGATGTAAATACCAATATTATAATAGCAATTAATTGGACAAAAGACAAGACAAATATTTAATTAATTGAATAGAAAAAAAAATATTTACCTGTGCTTACTGTGTTGAGATCAAAATATTTTTTTAAATCAAAATTCAAAACAAAAGCACCATCACTTAACAAAACACAAAACTTTTAAATTATGTGATGTGAACTATTAAACTTAAATAAATTTTTCTTGATGATGTAAATACCAATATTATAATAGCAATTAATTGTATAAAAGACAAGATAAATATTTAATTAATTGAATAGGAAAAAAAATATTTACCCATGCTTGTTGTGCTGAGATCAAAATATTTTTTTAAATCAAAATTCAAAACAAGAGTACCACCACTTAACAAAACACAAAGCTTTTAAATTATGTGATGTAAACTATTAAACTTAAATAAATTTTCCTTGATGATGTAAATACCAATATTATAATAGTAATTAATTGTGCAAAAAGACAAGATAAATATTTAATTAATTAAATAGAAATTTTTTTTTACCTATGCTTGTTGCTACTTCGTCTGGGCTGCTGGTGTGTGCTTCATCCTTGCTGGTGTGTGCTATCAAACAAATGTAGGGAAGGTTGGATTAAGAGATTATAGGGTTAGGAATTAGAAAAATGGGCCTTTCAGACTGTTGGGCTGGGCCTTAAACTGTTGGCCTTTTAATGGGTCAAAAAAATTAAGTTAGTTTGGGCATTTTTAAAAAAAAAAAATTTGGCTTAAAACACACCTAACATATTGTACTAACTTATAATAGAAGGGGCCCCCTATTTTGGGCCTATTTTGAGGGGCCCTAAGCCATGGCCGGGCCTGAATGTTTCCACATGCTAATATATATGATACAACTAATATTTGTGTAAAAAGTCTAATTGCTCCCGTGATGTATGCTATTTGTATTAAATGCATTATATATATATATATATATATATAATATTCTAATCACATATTTGCATACAAAGAAAAATCTCTTTAAATAATATTTATGAGAGATCTAAAAATATGTGTCTTCTTTAAATTAGTGTATATATTGTAGAGATTTTAAACTAAATATATCCTATCACTCCATATAAATTTTGTCAAAAGAAGATAACCCATCAATATCAAATTTGTCAAATTAATACAACTAATCAATATTAATTTCGTCAAAAGGTGAATAGTGACCGGCCGAACTTTTCAAAATCGTGAATAGTAATATTTTCAAAATATTTCCATTTAAATAATATTTATAACAAATATATCATACAAAGTATAGTTTTAACATATTTAATTTTGTGTCAAATAATAGAACATGTGCACTAAAAAATCCAAATATGTGTATTAAAATATCCAAATTTTCAAATAATATTTTAGACATTATCAAAATTAAGTAACATGATTAACAATCTCCCCATTTTTTATGATGGCAATACAAGTATGTTTTTGATGCAAAATTAAAATCAACAAAATATTTGATAACTCTGCAAGATATAATTAAATCACATGCATACACAAAATATTCTCTCCCTTTGACATCATCAAAATAAAATATCTGAGATGCCAAAATATAATAATGATCCTTAGGTCTTGTCGAGCGCACAAAATGTTGACAAACAAAAGATTTGAGCAGATATGCATCGAGTATTGGATCGATGGAGTGTATAATAAGTGACAAGGATGATAGGCAAAGAAACGAAATTATCAAGTGTTAGAGAAAAAAAATTGTTTTAGCTTCTTGTGTAATCATGTCATTTATTACCTTAGCCATCAATGGTTCGGACCTGTATAAGGTGCCTGTAATGCAGGCAAATGAGAGGTTACCAGTGGTGCAGACACATGCTATTCCTATAAATGGGGGTCCTAGTGTTATTGGTAATCGAAATGATATCGATGCTATTAAGCTCTTAGTACACAGGCAATGACTGTAGTTTCCAATATGGCGCAACGATTACAAATAAGAGTACAAGAAAATCAGCAATAGAGAGATGAGGTATGTTTGTTAAAACAACAACTGGTTAATACGTGTAAGGAGTAGAAAGAGCTAAAAAGGAAAAATGCACAGTTGGAGAATGGTTATAATGCCAAGACTCACAAAAGTTGAAAATAGAAAGAGGCATGTAAAAGAGGCTCATGAAAAATTGTTGAGAGAAGTGAAACGGAAAAAAATCTGTGAAGCCTTTTGAAAACTTGCACGTAATCGAGTAATATTTTCTCATTCTAAAATAAAATTGCAAGCATTTCTCCTCCCCTTTTTTAAAAAAAAAATTAAATTCTATATTTGCCAAAAAAAATTGGTGGTGCAGATAAGAAATAGTGCAGATAAAGAATATATATATATATACTCCCCCTAAAATTATGCACAGAATATACACATACTTTTTTTATATATAATAATTGTTAATCTCAAAATATATGAGTCTCCCCCTAAATTAATACACTAAAAATTACATAAATTTGAAGAAACAAATTACCAATCTATACTACCAAGGGCCATTAAGATCCGGCCATAAACAACTACACCAAGTGCACTAGCATAAAATGAGAAAATAAAAATAAAAACAATTTCTTCAGACAAGGTAAAAGCAACCATTATTAAATCCAAGAGAGTTTGGAACACATACAACAAGTAAAAAAATATAACACAGTGCAACAAGAATTTTAACATGTTGATCGGTGATAACCTTGATGAACGGAAGAAATTGAGACGATTGGGTAGATCAGTGACGAATTTGTGTAGATCGGCAATCGATCTTGATGGATCAGTCACGGATCTTGATGGATCGGTGATGGAACTTGATGAATTGGTGAAGATGGTGATGCAGATTTTGGGTGGAGAAGTGATGGAGTTTGGAAGATTAGTGAGGGATTTGGATGGATGGGGGTCAAAGCTTCCTCAAGAAGCCTTGAGCAAAGGGTGCAAAAAGAGGGGTCAAAGGTGGTCAAAGGTGCAAAATAGCCACACCTGTGCATGGAGGGACGGGTTTGTGCACTCCAGCTGGCACAGATGGCATGCACCATGCTTTAGGGATGCAAAAGGGTCATATCGGCCATGAAAGGAGGTCATCGGCAAAATGAATGGCCGGTCGGCACAATATATTGCCGACCTGCAATTTATACTGGCCGGTCGGATAAATAGAGTGCCTCTGGGTTGCTGATGAGGTCAAAAAGTTCCGGTGGATGTCTAGATTGAAGCCCCGGAAGTTATCTTTCCAATGGCGCAAACCTTGCATTAAAATTCCTCCTGTGGAAAAAGTTATGCCCATTTTGGTGAAGCCGCGCAGATTCAATCCAACCGGGATGATGCCCAACTTCAGCTGCTCATATCTCCCCCACCCGGAATTGGCTTTAAGAGATTCTTGAGTGCAAAATGAAGCCCCGGAAGTAAGCTTTCCGACGGTGGTGGCCCCATAGCTAAACTCCAAGTGTACAGGTAGATATGCCCAATTCAGCGAGGGCTGCTCGACTCTCTTCTACCCAGATTCATGCCAAACTTCTCCCAAACTAGTTTTCTCCTCTCCTTTCCTCTCTTCTTCAACTCCAAACCCCTAAACAAAGTGTTTTAAAGGATTTGCCTCTCTCCTTGCTGAAGAAACTGAACATTTGCCCTGCACACCTTTCTCCACCAAGTAAAACATCAGTGGTGCCCAAGTCTTAAGGGCGGTCAAAAATAGGGTGTCTACACACCTATGATAAGGTCTTTAGGGTGGCCATGAGCAAACTTTCATTCCTTCGGAAGATTTGATTCGCTTTCTAGATGAGCATATTCTTCTTGAAGATTCTGTTGCATCACCTATGATAAGGTCTTTAGGGTGGCCATGAGCAAACTTTCATTCCTTTGGAAGATTTGATTCGCTTTCTAGACAAGCATATTCTTCTTGAAGATTTTTCATTGAGATTTCTTCTTTTTGTTCATGAGATGGATTTTCTTCATTTGTTATGTAAATGCTCTCTATTATTGGATGTGTTTCTACAGTGTCATCACTTACAAGATTCTTGGAGACAACGTTGTTAGATTCATCAAAGGCAACATGTACAGATTCTTCAACAAGTAAAGTTCTTTTATTCAATATTCTATAAGCTTTACTAGAATTTGAATAGCCAACAAATATAGCTTCATCCGATTTAGTATCAAATTTTTCTAAGTTATCTTTATTGTTATTTAATACAAAACATTTACAACAAAAAGCACGCAAGTGGCTAATATTAGGCTTTCTACCTTTTCAAAGTTCATAAGGAGTTTTCTTAAGAATAAGTCTAATCATGGCACGGTTTACAACATAACATGCAGTGAAATTGACTTCATCCCAAAAATATCTTGCTAAATTATTCTCACAAAGCATAGTACAGACCATTTCTTCAAGAGTTCTATTTTTTCTTTTAACCACACCATTTTGTTGAGAAATTCTAGGGGTTGAGAAATTATAATCTATTCCTAAGTCATCACAAAATATAAAAAAAAATCATCATTTTCAAATTCTCTACCATGATCACTTCTAATACTACAAATATTAAGTTTTTTTTTTTTTCATTTTGAATTCTTTTACAAAGTCTTGAGAAATTATAAAAAAAAAAAACTTCGTTTTTTTGTGCTAAAAATAATACACATGTATATCTAGTATAATCATCAACACAAACAAGAGCTTACGATTTTCCTCCCAAACTTAATGTTCTAGATGGTCTGAATAAATCAATATGCAAGAGTTGAAGCGGTTTAGTAGTTGAAACAATATTTTTGGATTTAAAAGAAATTCTAATTTGTTTTCCAAATTGACATGCATCACAAAGTTTGTCTTTTCAAAAATATTTTTTGATAAACCAATGACTAACTCATTTTTTGAAAGTTTGGATATTAAATCAAAATGAGCATGTTCTAATCTTCTACGCCAAAGCCAGCCATTATCATTTATAGCAGATAAACATTTAATATTAAAATGAGAAGACAAATCATGCAAATCAAATACATATACATCCTCATATCTATGTCCTACAAATAATGTTTTATTATCTTTGGTGTTCTCAATTGTGCTGTGAGTTTTTTCAAAAATTACTCTATTACCTTTATCACATAATTGACTAATGCTAAGCAAGTTATGTTGTAAACTTTCAACAAGTAAAACATTTTCAATAATAGGAGAAGGATTTTTACTAATACTTCCTACACCAATGATTTTACTCTTGCTATTGTCGTCGAAAGTGATATATCCTCCATTATTTGGTTAGAGTGTGGTGAACATAGCTTTATTTCCGATCAAGTGTCTCGAACATGAACTATCGAGATACCATTTATCGTTACTAGATTTTGTCTTGAAACATACCTACAAACATTTGATTTTTCTATTGGTACCCATATTTTCTTGGGTCCATAAAAGTTAGAATTTGACACTCTTGAAATGTCCTTAGGGACCCATATCTTTTTTATTTTAGCAAAAGGATTTCTTTTAACAGGGCATAAAGATGAAATATGACCTTTTGTACCACAAAAATGACATGTAAGATGAGAGTGACTAGAAGATGCATACACAAAATCATTTTTGACTGTTTTTACTTTTGAAAAAGGTTTATATCCGATTCCGGCTCTATCAAAAGTACGATTTTGATTTTTAAGAATTTTATCTAAAATCTCTTTACCTTAAGTGAATTTTGAAAGATTATTTTTCAAGTCTTCAATATTTTCTTTCAAAACAATTTGCTCCTTTTTTAAATACTCATTTTCTTTTTGCAATACAACTAATTTTTTTCTCAGAAATTGAAGACTCTTTTCGAGTTAAAATCTCATTTTCCTTTTTCATTTTCATGGCTTCATTTTCTAAAGCATTTATCTTGAAAGTTAATGATTCATTTTCTTTTGATAAACTTGAAATCACTTTCTTTTGATAGTTACTTTTCAAACTAAGTTTCTTAAATTCAGCATATAATTCATCAAAAGTTGATTGTAATTCATCAAACGTAAAAAATTTGTCATTTACCTCATCTTCGTTTCCAAGTGCCATTAAGCATAGGTTAGCAACCTCATTTTTGCAAACTTCGGTTTCTGAGTCGCTTTCATCGTTATCTTCTCCCCATGCTGCAATCATGGCTTTCTTCTTGTCCTTCTTTAATTGTTTAAGTTTTTTATTTGTAGTGTCCATGTTTGTTGCATTCGTAGCAGGTAACTTTAGATTTTTTTTGATTTTCTTCCCTTTAAAAATCCCTGTTGTTGAAGTCTTTTCTGAAAAAATTTCACACGCCTTGTCTCTTTTTCACAAACCTTTTGAACTTCCTAGTAATGAATGTCATTTCCTCATCATCATCCGAATCATCTTCCTCATCTTCTTGATGTTTCGAGGTGGGTTTGAAGGCTATTCATTTCTTCTTGTTGTTGTCCTCCTCTTTATTTCCTTCTTGCATTATGAGCTCATAAGTTAAGAGAGATCTCATTAACTCATCTAAACTTAGCTTTGATAAATCCTTGGCTTCGGTAATGGCAATGACTTTTGTCTCCCAATCTTTTGGAAATGACTCAAGTACTTTTCTTACAATTTTAGCATTAGTATATATTTTCTTAAGAGAAGTTAAACCATTAATAATATCATTAAAGTGAGTAAACATTGAGGAACAGTTTTATCAAGTTTCATTTTAAAGAGTTCATAATTATGGACTAGCAAACTGACTCTAGATTCGTTAACTTGTTTGGTTCCCTTATGAGGCACTATAAGCTTATCCCAAATTTCTTTTATGGTTCTACATGTGAAGATTCTATTGAACTCGTTGGCATCTAAGGCGTAGTACAACATGTTTGTGGCTTTGACATTAATTTGGACCATTCTAGTATCTAATTCATTCCACTCATCTTCAGGTTTTGGTACCTTAAGGCCATCTACGGTTTTGGTAGGAATTTTTGGACCATTGCAAATAATTTTCCAGCATTCATAATCATTTGATTGAACATGTATAGTCATCCTAGTTTTCCAATAGATAAAATTTATACCGCTAAACAGTGGTGGCCTATTGGATGCTTATCCCTCAGGTAAGGAATAACTAGGGGTTGCGACGGTTAAGTCACACAAACTAAAGTCTAAGCTCTGATACCAATTATTATCCCAAGTAAGTAACCCAAGAGGGAGGGTGAATTGGGTTATTAAAAAATTTTACAATATTAAAAAATAATAAACTCAATATTCAGAATTTTAACAAATAAAAAAACAGAACAATAATTATCAATATAAAAGTAAGAGAGATCAGGAGAGAAAATTAAACACTGAGATTTATAGTGGTTCGGCACGCTGGACCTACGTCTACTCCCCAAGGAACCTCCTTGAGAATTTCTTTACTATTAAAATGAATCAGTACACCACCAAGGCTTCTCCAAGCTTATGGATTTTGCACAGGTCTTATTTTCATCTATTGAGCCTCACTCAACAATAAATTCATCACTCTTACAAAATTCCTTCACAAAATAATAAATAAGGATAAGAGGTACTTAACCCTCTTTTACAATAATTCTCTCACAAAAAG